GGGTAGTACTGAGGGAGGGTAAAGGGTAGTACTGGGAGGGAGGGTAAGGGTAGTACTGGGAGGGAGGTAAGGGTAGGCACTGGGAAGGAGGGGTGGAGTACTGGGAGGAGGGTAAGGGTAGTACTGGGAGGGGAGGGTAAGGGGTAGTACTGGGAGGAGGGTAAGGGTAGTACTGGGAGGGAGGGTAAGGGTAGCACTGGGAGGGGAGGGTAAGGCACTGGGGGGAGGGTAAGGGTAGTACTGGGAGGGAGGGTAAGGGTAGTACTGGGAGGGAGGGTAAGGTAGTACTGGGAGGAGGGTAAGGGGTAGTACTGGGAGGGAGGGTAAGGGTGAACTGGGAGGGAGGGGTAAGGGTAGCACTGGGAGGGAGGGTAAGGGTACTGGGAGGAGGTAAGGGTAGTACTGGGAGGAGGGTAAGGTAGTACTGGGAGGAGGGTAAGGGTAGTACTGGGAGGGAGGGTAAGGGTAGTACTGGGAGGGAGGTAAGGGTAGTACTGGGAGGGAGGGGTAAGGGTAGTACTGGGAGGGAGGGTAAGGGTAGTACTGGGAGGGAGGGTAAGTGGGTAGTACTGGGAGGGAGGGTAAGGGGTAGTACTGGGAGAGGGGTAAGGGTAGTACTGGGAGGAGGGTAAGGGTAGTACTGGGAGGGAGGGTAAGGGAGAATTGGGAGGGGAGGGTAAGGGGTAGTACTGGGAGAGAGAGGGTGGAGTAGTACTGGGAGAGGGGTAAGGGTAGTACTGGGAGGGAGGGTGGGGTAGTTGGGAGGAGGGTAAGGTAGTACTGGGAGGAGGGTAAGGGTAGTACTGGGAGGGAGGGTAAGGGTAGTACTGGGAGGAGGGGTGGTGGGGTAGTACTGGGAGGAGGGGTAAGGGTAGTACTGGGAGGGAGGGTAAGGGGTAGTACTGGGAGGGAGGGTAAGGGTAGTACTAGGAGGGAGGGTAAGGGTAGTACTGGGAGGAGGGTAAGGGTAGTACTGGGAGGAGGGTAAGGTAGTACTGGGAGGGAGGGTAAGGGTAGTATGGGAGGGAGGGTATGGGTAGTACTGGGAGAGAGGGTAAGGGTAGACAGGGGAGAGGGTAAGGTAGTACTGGGAGGGAGGGTATAGTACTGGGAGGGGAGGGTAAGGGTAGTACTGGGAGGGAGGTAAGGGGTACTGGGAGAGAGGGTAAGTGTAGTACTGGGAGAGAGGGTAAGGGGTAGTACTGGGAGGAGGGGTAAGGGTAGTACTGAGGAGGGTAAGGGTAGTACTGGAGGGGAGGGTAGGTAGTACTGGGAGGGAGGGTGGGAGGGTAGTACTGGGAGGGAGGGTAAGGGTAGTACTGGGGGGAGGGTAAGGGTAGTACTGGGAGGGAGGGTAAGGGTAGTACTGGGAGAGAGGGTAAGGGTAGTACTGGGAGGGAGGGCAAGGGTAGTACTGGGAGGGAGGGTAAGGGTAGTACTGGGAGGGAGGGTAAGGGAAATTGGGAGAGAGGGGGTAAGGGTAGTACTGGGAGGGAGGGTAAGGGTAGTACTGGGAGAGAGGGTAAGGGTAGACTGGGAGGAGGGTAAGGGTAGTACTGGAGAGAGGGTAAGGGTAGTACTGGGAGGGGAGGGTGGAGGGTAGTACTGGGAGGGAGTAAGGGTAGTACTGGGAGAGGGTAAGGGGTAGTACTGGGAGGGAGGGTAAGGGTACTGGAGGGAGGGTAAGGGTAGTACTGGGAGGGAGGGTAAGGGTAGTACTGGGAGGAGGGTAAGGGTAGTACTGGAGGAGGGTAAGGGTAGTACTGGAGGGAGGGTAAGGGTAGTACTGGGAGAGGGTAAGGGTAGTACTGGGAGGAGGGTAGGGTAGTACTGGAGGGGAGGGTAGGGTAGTACTGGGAGGGAGGGTAAGGGTAGTACTGGGAGGAGGGTAAGGGTAGTACTGGAGGGAGGGTAAGGGTAGTACTGGGAGAGGAGGGTAAGGGGTAGTACTGGGAGGGAGGGTAAGGTAGTACTGGGAGGAGGGTAAAGGTAGTACTGGGAGGAGGGTAAGGGTAGTACTGGGAGGGAGGGTAAGGTAGTACTGGGAGGGAGGGTGGGTGGGCAGCTGGGAGGGAGGGTAAGGTAGTACTGGGAGGGAGGGTAAGGGTAGTACTGGGAGGGGAGGGGTATGGTAGTACTGGGAGGGAGGGTAAGGGTAGTACTGGAGGGAGGGTAAGGGTAGTACTGGGAGGGGAGGGTAAGGTACTGGGAGAGAGGGTAAGGGGTAGTACTGGGAGAGAGGGTAAGGGTAGGCACTGGGAGGAGGGTAAGGGGTAGTACTGAGGGAAGGTAAGGGTAGTACTGGGAGGGAGGGTAAGGGTAGTACTGGAGGGAGGGGTAAGGGGTAGTACTGGGAGGGGAGGGTAAGGGTAGTACTGGGAGGGAGGGTAAGGGTAGTACTGGGAGGGAGGGGGTAGTACTGGGAGAGAGGGTGGGTGTAGTACTGGGGAGGAGGGTAAGGGGTAGTACTGGGAGAGAGGGTAAGGAAGTACTGGGAGAGGGTATGGTAGTACTGGGAGGGAGGGTAAGGGGTAGTACTGGGAGAGGGAGTTGGGAGGTAAGGGTAGTACTGGGAGGGAGGGTGGGGGGTAGTACTGGAGGGAGGGGTAGTGTAGTACTGGGGAGGGAGGGTAAGGTAGTACTGGGAGGGAGGGTAAGGGTAGTACTGAGGGAGGGTAAGGGTAGTACTGGGAGGGGAGGGTATGTACTGGGAGGGAGGGTAAGGTAGTACTGGGAGAGAGGGTATGGGAGTACTGGAGGGGAGGTAAGGGTACTGGAGGGGAGGTAAGGGTAGTACTGGGAGGGAGGGTAAGGGTAGTACTGGGAGGGAGGGTAAGGGTAGTACTGGGAGAGAGGGTAAGGTAGTACTGGGAGGAGGGGTAAGGTACTGGGGAGAGAGGGGTATGGTACTGGGAGGGAGGGTAAGGGTAGTACTGGGAGGGAGGGTGCCTGGCGCCTCAGGGCTAAGTGTCTTGCTCACAACACCTGGAAGTCCTGTTTATCCTGGCTCTCTGTGCTCGACTCCTGCACTCCTCTTGGCTAAGACTTTCTTCACCTGCACTCACGGCGCCTACCTGCCCTCAGGTGGTGTAACATCCTCCACCACCTGGTTCAGGGCCCTGTGCTGCCACCTGCCTCATTATGCTGGCGCGTGGCCCTGCCTTTATCATCATATTTTATGTGTGCCATTATGTATGATGGCTGGGTGTGGCACCCTAATGGTGGTCGTGTGTGTGCACCATTATGTATGATGGCGTGGCTCTCGTTATGGGTGGCAATGATTATAATTCTTTTTCCTTCAGGCAGGTCACGAGTTACAGACACCTTATAGCCCACTAGCTGTCCCGGCCTTTGACCTGAGACATGATGATTTAGTTAACTGGGGAAAGACGTAATAGTTGTGTCTTGGCTCAAGTGTTTGTCGACTACTGGCAGTCATAACTCAAGAGTAATATGGCTTCAGAACGTAACAGCCAGTTAACACTTGGTGTTCGGTGACTGGATTGAGAGTCTACTAACCCTAGTGTGCAGGGTCGGCTCTGTGCTGAATAACATAGTCTGGCGTTGTTAATAAAATATTAGTGACGTCCCTGTAGTTAAGATGTTAAGGCTTCACAAAGGCACTGAGGAAAAAAAATAAAGCGAGTGACTAAGACGCGCGTGAGTCGTGAGCAATTAACCATAGGTGGAGAGCGAGAAGGCAAGTGCCAACGACAGCAGCAGAGTTAGGGGCCCTGAGGACGACCTAACACTGACGGAGAATAGCTTCCCGCAACACTTACAACACACAACGTGGCAAACACCCATAAAATGACACTTAACTTTATACAGCTGAGAAAGTGGAGGGTGATCGAGGTATGTACGCTGGCCACCACTATAGCACCTCCTGCTGGCCACCACTACAGCACCCCCTCCTGTCAAGTGCTGGCCACCAGCTGCAGCACTTCCTGTCATGTCGGCCACCACCACAGCACTCTGCAAGCTGCTGGCCACACAGAGCACTTCCTGTCATGCTGGGTCACCACTTCATGGTAATCTCCCATGCATGTGCTGGCCACCACTGATAGTGACTTCCTGTCATGTTGGCCACCACTTCACAGCACTTTCCTGTAGTCATGTTGGCCACACCACTACAGCACCTCCCGTCATGCCGCACACCACTACAGCAACCCGTGCCGCCGGCCAACACCATAGCAACCTGGTCATGCACACCACCACAGTACCCTCCTCACGCTGGCCACCTCCCGTCATGCTGGCCACCACTATAGTGCATTCTCCCCATGCCGCACACCACTACACCAATCTCCGCCCATGCTGGCCACCACTTCACAGCATTCTCTTATGCTGGCCACCACACTATGCAGCAGACCTCCCGTCATGTCAGCCACCACTACACCACCTCCTGTCATGCTGGCCACCACCAGAAACCTCCCAGGTCATGCTGGCCACCACTACGGTGTCTCCCGTCGCGCTGGCTACCACACCACCTCCCGTCATGCCGGCCACCACCATAGCACCTCCTTAGAACATGCCGGGCTCACCCGACAGAACCTCCCGGTTTGAAAAGCCGGCTAACAACCATAGCACCTTCCAGTCATAAAAGCCGGCCACCACCAGCAATTCCTCCCGTCATGCCGGCCACCACTACAGAAAGCACCTCCCAGTCATGCTGGCTACCACCATAGTACTTCCGGTCGCGCGCGACACCACTACAGCACCTCCCGTCATGCCGCCACACCATCACAGCACCTCCCTGCTGCGCTGGCCACCACCATAGCACTTCCTGTCATGTCGGCCACCACCAGCAGCACCTCCCGTCATGCCGGCCAAATTAATTACAGCACCTCCTGCTGTCATGCCGGGCCGCACCACGGCACCTCCCGCATGCCGGCCACCACCACAGTACCTCCTGTCATGTTGGCCACCACTCTCGCCGTGTTGGCCGCACCACTTCATGCGCACCTCCGCATGGTGCTGGCACGCTCGCTGCATCTCCCGTCATGTTGGCCACCACCATAAAGAATCTTCCTGTCATGCCGGCCACCACCACACCACCCTCCTGGGTCATGCCGGCCACCACCACAGCACCTCCTGTCATGCCGGCCACCACCACAGCACCTTGCGCCGCGTTGGCCACCAACAGAAAATCTCCACGGCCACCACTACGGCAGTTCCCCAATATGCCGGCCACCACTACGGCACCTCCTGTCATGCCGGCCACCACTACAGCACCTCTCATGCTCATGCCGGCCACCACACCACAGCACTCTTGCCGCGCTGGCCACTACCACAGGCACCTCCGTGTCATGCTGGCCACCACCACAGCATCTTCCCGTCATGCCGCCACCACTACAGCAACTCCTGTCATGTTGGCCACCACTACAGCAGTTTCCCAATATGCCGGGCGATAGAATTCTCCCGGTTGCGTGCCGCCAATTACCACAGCACCTTCCTGTTGCGTTGGCCACCACTATAGCACCTTCCTGCCGCGCCGGGAAGCCACCACCTGCGAAAGCACCTCCTGTCACGCGTCGGCCGTACCATAGCATTCTCCTGTCATGCTGGCGCAATTACTTATAGCAGAATTTTGTCAGTGTTGGCTACCATTTATGGCACCTCCTGTCATGCTGAAGCACCACCATAGCACTTTCCCGGTCGCATGCCGGCCACCACTATAAAGAATTTCCTGTCAGTGTTGGCCAATTACCATACAGCACTCCTGTCGTTGGCCACCACTTCATAGCACCTGTCATGCCGGCCACCACCAGCACCTCCTGTCATGTCGCCACCACCACCAGCACTCCTGTCATGCCGGCCACCACCATAGCACCTCCTGTCATGTCGTACACCACTACAGATTCTCCTGTCGGCGTTGCCGATACCATCATAGCACCTCGTCATGTCGCCACCACCACAGCACCTCCTGTCATAAGCCACAATTACCAGCACCTCCGTCATGCCGGTCACCACGCCATAGCACCTCCTGTCAAAAGCGGCTACCGTCATAATTCCTGGTCATGCCGGCCACCACTACGTTCTCACGCGTCGCCACCGATTACAGCACTGTCATGCTGCCACCACTGTTAGTACTTAGTCATGTTGGCCACACCACACCACCTCCTGCTTGCGTTGGCCACCACTACAGCACCTTCCTGTCATGTTGAAGCACTACTACAGCACCTGTCATGTCGCCACCACATTACACCATTTCCGAAATGGTGTTGGCCACCATAGCACTCTCCCATGTCATGCCGGCTACCACTATAGCATCTTCCTGCTGGCTAATTACTACAGCACCACCCTCCTTGTCATGCTGGCCACCACTACAGCACCTTCCGTCATGTCGCCACCACTACACCCACACCTCCCGTCATGCGTTGGCTACCACTTCATCTATCACCTTCCACGTCAAAAGCCGGTCAATGTAAAAATCATGCTGGCTACCACCGCGTCGATTCTGTCATGCTGGCCACCACTATGCACACTACCCCCTCCCGTCATGCCGGCTACCACTACACTTATCTCCGCATGTTAACACCACCATAGCATTCCTCTCAGTCATGCCGGCCACCACCACAGCATCCTGTCATGCCGGCTACCACTACACCACTTCCGGTTGCGCGGCCACCATTTACATTCACACCTCCTGTCATGTTGGCTAAATTACTACAGCAATCTCCTGTCATGCCGCGAAGCCAACACTTCACCCTTGTCACCGCGTTGGCCACCATCATATCACCCTGTCATGCCGGCCACCACCACACCGTTCCTGTCATGCTGGCCACCACTATACCACCCTCCCAGCCGGCGCGGCTGACCACTACAGCGGCAGACCTCCTGTCATGCTTTGCCACCAGCACTCCCGTCATGCCGCCACCATTACACCATTCCCGTCATGCCGCCGTACCACGCAGCACCGTCGCGCCGGCACCACCACAGCACCTCCTGTCATGCCGGCCACCACCACAGCACCTCCCGTCATGCCGGCCACCACTACAGCATTCCTCCGTCATGCCGGCTAATTACCTCCCGGCCGCGTTGGCCACCACCACAGCACCTCCCGTCATGCCGGCCACCACTACAGTACCCGCCGGCCAACGCGATTTGCCAGCATATCACCCTCCCAGCCGCCGGCCACCACTGCACCTCCGGTCAGTGCTGGCTACCACCATAGCATTCCTTCCTGTCATGCCGGCTACCACCATAAGAACTTCCTGTTTATGTCGGCTACCACTACAGCATCCTCCTGTCAGTGTCAAGCATTACTGCAGTAATTTCCTGTCGGTAAGTACACCACCACAGTATCTTCCTTTGCGTCATGTCACGGCCACCACTATGGCACTTCCCAATAAGTGCCGGCTAATTACCATAGCACCTCTCCAGTCATGTCGGCTTTACCACCATAGCACTTCCTGCTGCGCTGGCCACCATAGCATTCTCTCTGGTCATGCTGCTGGCTACTCATACTTTGATAGCACCTCCTGCCAGCGCTGGCTACCGGTTTCATAGCACCTTCGCGCCGGCCACCACTATACAGCAGCACTTCCTGCGGTCATGCCGGTCACACCACGAGAAATCTCCCGTCGCCGGCCACCACTACAGCAGCAACTTCCTGTCGCCAACACCCAGCCAGCATTCCTCCCGTCATGCTGGCTACCACGGTAGCACCTGTCATGCCGGCCACCACTATAGCACCTCCTGTCAAAGCCGGCCACCAGCCACAGCACCTCCCGGTCATGCCACACCACCATAGCATTCCTCCCCAGTCATGTCGGCCACCACTACAAGAATCTCCTGTCATGCCGGCCACCAGATTACAGCACCCTGGTTTGCGTTGCTGGCCACCACCACGCACCTCCTGTTGCGTCGGGCCACCACCGCAGTAATTTTCCTGCGCGGGCTGCACTACCACAGCACCTCCTGTCATGCCGGTTACCACGCGAGTTACCCTCCTCATCATGCCGGCCACCACCACAGCACCTCCCGTCATGTTGGCCATCACACTATAGCATTCTCGCACGTTGGAAGCCACCATTTTATAATTTTGCTTACGGCTGCAATTACGGCACCTCTCCTGGTCGCGAACACTGCCAGCAGCACTTCCTGGTCATGGGCAAGCGGTCACCATTTACAGAATTTTGTCGGCCACCACTACAGCACCACGGTGCTGGCTACCACCATAGTGCACTTCCTGTCATGCCGGCCACCACTACAGCACCTCCTGTCATGCCGGCCACCACTACGGCACCTTCCTGTCATGCCGCCACACCACAGCACCTCCCTGGTCATGCCGGCCACCACCACAGCACCTTCCTGTCATGCCGGGCCACCACTACAGCACCCCTGTCAGCGTTTGCCAGAAGGTACCTCTGCTGGACACCGTTTTGCAGGCACCTCCCCGTCATGCCATACCACCACAGCACCTCCCGTCATGCCGGCCACCACTACAGCACCTCCTGTCATGCCGGCCACCATCACTACGGCACCCTCCCGTCATGCCGCCACCACTACAGTACCCCCCGGCTAAAGCCAGGCTACTACTATAGCACCTGGTTGCGCTGGCTACCACTATAGCACTTCCTGCCGCAAAGTTGGCTACCACTGGCGAAAACAACTCTCCGGTTGCTGGCTACCACCATAGCATTCCTTGCCGTGCTGGCTACCACTACGGCACCTCCTGTCATGCTGGCCACTTACGGTAGTTCCCTGTCGCCGGCCACCATCAGGCACCTTCCGTCATGCCGGCCACCACTACAGCATTCCTCCGCCGGTTACCACCATAGCAATTCTCCTGTCATGCCGTAGCCACTACCACAGTGCACCTCTCCTGTCGCGTTGCCAATTTTACTTGCTGGCACCGTCAGCGCCACCATCATAGCATCTCTAAGTCATGCCTGGCCACCACGGTAACTTCCTGTCATGCTGGCCACCATGAAGAATTCCTCCAAAGTCATGCCACCACTACACCACCTCTCAGTTATGTCGCCACCACCACAGCATCTCCCGTCGCGCCGGCCACTACCACACCTCCCGTCATGCCGCCACCACCACAGCACCTCCCGTCGCGCTGGCTGGCCACCACGGCATTCTCCTGTCATGCCGGCCACCACTACAGCACCTCCTGTCATGCCGGCCACCAACAGCAGTACTTCCTGTCATGCCGGCTAACACCAGCACCTTCCTGTCATGCCGCCACCGCTGGCGTAATCTCCTGTCACAAACACACCACCACAGCAGCATTCTCCGCAGGCTATGCTGGCCACCACCACAAAGAACTCCTGCTTGCGCGGCCAGTACCACCATAGCACCTCCCCTGTCATGCCGGCCACCATTACAGCACCTCCTGCTGGCGCGGCCACCATCACAGCATTCCTCCTGTCATGTTGCCACCATCATAGTGACCTCCTGGTCATGCTTGGCCACCAATTACAGTTATTCCTCCCACGCGTCAGCCACCACTTACAGACCTCCTGGCTGGCGTCGCTGCACTGATGGCACCTGCCGGTCGCGCTGGTCATCGCCACTCAGAAAGAGCACCTTCCGTGGTCATGCCGGGCGTACTCACCATGACCACCCTCCTGCCCGGGTGCCGGTCAATGCATCAAATCTCCGCAGTCACGTGTTGGCCATGGCACCTCCCCGTCATGTCACGCCGGCCACCACCACAGCACTTCCTGTCATGCGTCGGTCACCACTACAGCACTCCTGTCATGCCGGCCACCATCATAGCATTCTCCTGTCATGCCGGTCAATTACCACACCTCCTGTCATGCCGGCCACCACTATAGTAATCTCTCCTGCGGTCATGCTTATTACAGTAATCTCCTGTCATGCTGGCGCATTACTTAGCATTCTCCTGGTTGCGCCAATTACTTACGTACTTCCCACACCACTTTATAGCATTCTCTGTCATGCCGGCCACCACCATAGCATTCTCCTGTCATGTCGCCGCCACCACTCATAGCAGACTTCCGGTCGTGCCGCGCCGGCCACCAGCCACAGCACCTCCCGTCATGCCGGCCACCACCTGGCACCACTTCCCCGTCATGTCGGCCACCACTACAGCACCCTCCTGTCGGCGTCGCCACCGCCAGCATTCCTCCTGGGTCAGTGCGTCAGCCACCACGGCAGCACCTCCTGTCATGCTGGCCACCACTTGGCATTCCTCCTGTCATGCGTGCCGGCCACCACCACAGCACCTCCTGTCATGCCGGCCACCATCACAGCACCTCCTGCCATCAGTGCCGGGCCACCACTTCCGCCACAGCACACCTCCTGCTTGCGCCATTACCACTATACCGCCTGCCGGCCACCACCACAGCACCTCCCGTCGCGTCGGCCACCACCAGCATTCCGTCTGTTGCCGCCACCACTGTTGTTAACCTCCTGTCGCGTTGCACCACTCATAGCA